ATTCGGGCACAAAGATATTTACCGGGAGCCGGCGGGGGGGCTGGCAGCTCGGGGACACCGAGCTTCATCCCCCCACCCCGGGGCTGGCTGAACGGGGGGGTCCCCGGACCCGCCAGGTGCTGCCCCCCCACCGGGGTCCCACTCTGCTCACCAAGACCCCCCCGTGGGTGCGGGCAGAGCGGCCTGGGCACAACCTGGGGCTGGTGGGTGCCTCGCCAGCTGCCGGGGGGGTGGGAGTGATGGCCGAACCCCCCTCGGGGACAGCCCTTGCACCTCTCCAGGTGCAGAGGATCCATGGGGGGGCAGCCCCCGGCTGTGGGGTGACCCACAGGAGCCCCGGGGAGGCAGCAGGGCCGGGGCCGGGCGCGCTGCCCGGGGTGGGCAGAGGGCAGGAGGCTGCGGGAGCGCAAACAGGGCTGGCAGCGGGGCTGTTGACAGGCCCGAGGCCTCTCTCTCTCTCTCTCTCTGTGTCTCCCGATTTTCCGATGCTCAGAGATAAGAAGCTCCCGCGCTGCGCAGCTGCCGCCGGACGCTCCGTGCTGCGTCTGGCACACGCTGTCCTGCTGTGGGGACGTAGGAAGAGGCTGGGAGGGTACCGGGAACACCGGGCTAGTACAGCTGGTGGGACTGTGGCCTGGCTGGAATGTCCCTGCCGGTGGCCAGCACAGGGGCTGATGGCCCACCAGAGCCACCCATCCTGCTCCACACTGGCCTTTGGGCCAGTGGCACGAGCCACCACAGCCCGGCCAGCCCCCAGCCCCTCAGGAGGTAAAAAAAAAAAAAAAAAAAAAAGGCTCCACTCACCCCACACTCACCTGCCCACAGCTCTCACACGGGGCCAGGCGCAAGAACAAAGCGGCGATGCCAGCCAGCATCATTAGACTTCGTTAAGGTGACGAGCTTTCAGTTCTCTGCTGTCCCAGGCTGGCTCCGTTCCCCCGGAGCCCAATTAGTGTCACGTCCAGGAGGCAGCTCCCGGGAGGAGGCGGAGGTGGGCAGGCGCCCTGGGCATGGCTCTGCCCCCAGGCTGCCTGCTGGGCTGAGACCGGGCACAGCTCGGCGCAGGGTTGGCCTGGGGGAGCCCGGCCCACAGCTCCCCACGGCGTGGGGCACAGAACAGGGTGAAGACCACTTCACCCCCTTAGCCACCCCCCCAAGCAGGACAGCAGCCCCTCCTGTGCTTGTTCCACCGTTTATTATATATTAAGATCACAGATATTCCAGTTCTTTGATCCCTTGGGGCCACCACGCACGGGGGGGGTGCACAGGGCAGAGGGGCTGGTGCTGGCAGCCCCCGTGTGTGGGGTGGTGCAGGGAGAAGGGGGGCTGTGAGGCAGCCTCGGTGCAAGGGGTGGGGGGCCGTGAGGCGGCACAGGATGGACACCCCCAACTCCAGGCTGGGTCTGGTGGAGGGTGAGCGAGTGCCAGGTCCTGGAGCAGGTGCTGCCCAGCCCAGGGGCACAGCTGTGACCGTGCCCTGGGCCAGTCGGGCAAGGAGGGCTACAGCCCATGCCCGGCTGGCAGGGGGGCCACGTGGCCACCCCTTGCCCGTGGGGTCCATCCTCTGTCATCATTGGTATGAGGCACAATCCCTGAAGAGCCCAGCAGCCGTTGGGTGCTGGTGAGTTTTGGCCAAGCAGAAGCAGGGGGTGTTTGGGGAGGGGGGAGGAAATGGGGGGAGGTGATGCCAGGCTGCCCTGGGGCCAGTGGGGGAGGGTGTGGGGCCAGTGGCACTAAGGGAGGACAGGGCC